AATTTCCATCGTCAATGATCCACAATGTGAAGTAACATCCACAGATCATAATCACACACACTCACATGTAGATTCATCCGCAGCTGAAAATAGTCCCTCAACAGGAATAAACAGGAGTAATTAAAGTGATTAACGTGACATTAAATACACTCAAATTAAACTCTATGTGATTAACGTAACGAGGAGACTCAGAGAAACATTTCCACTCAGATATCTTGAGGATCCTTTAGGAATCTTTATTCAGTGTGTACATACAGAGCGGTAACATCAGTGTCGATATCAGTGACTCTAAAACACGTAAAGTAACAATATTTTCAGTTTTCAGTGATTATTTGGATCCAATCACATCTCAGAGACGAAGGTTATTTTATCTTTAACAGCAGAAATACTCAGTTTATGTTTCATTCACTGAGACTGTGGACAACAGTCACTGATCAACCTTTAAATATACGTCGCCTCTTCCTCTCAACGTGTTGCAGTCAAACCAGAGCAACAACTGAAGGGGGGCGGGGCCAGTGAGTTAACAGACAGGAGGAGGAGGAGGAAGAGGAGGAGGGAGAGGAGGAGGAAGGACGTCCAGAGAGTCCAACAACGGAGGCCAAACCGACCGAGCAGAGCTGGTGTTGGTGGTTTCACTCTGGGATGAATTTTTATCTTTTTTATATCTTTTTGGTCTTTTTAAATAAATTATTCAAGTAGTTTTTTGTCTGTTGGATCATTTTTAGGTAAAGAGTTCGAAGATCTCTCCTCATACGCTGATTCCCAACCTTTCTCCTTTAGGAAACCCTTTAAACTGACTATATGTTATAGATATTTCATATTATATTTAATGTATAATAACAGCAGACTGCAGGAAGTTTGTATAAAACCAGAGATTTGGATGAATTTTAAGCAGATTATTTCCTGAATATTGATCAGAGACGAGTTTTCCTGATATTTTTATATCATTCTCTGTCTGTATTCTGTATTTTCCTAATTTCTAACAATCAAACTGATTTAATATTCTTCTTTTCTGACAGATTCAGTGTTTTCTCCTCGTTGTTCGATCAGCTCTTTGGTTGTTTTCTAAAGCAGGACGACTTTATCAGAGACTGAAGCTCTTTAAACTTTAAAATGAAGAATTTAATTTAGTTTTCTTCACAGAAATATCAGCTTATTAAGTTTCCTTACACCCATTAAAATCAACAGAGCTAGTTGGTTAGCTACGTAGCTGTCAGTGTAAAGACAGAGGAGGCCGGTTGTTGTTGTTGTCGTTGTTGTTGTTGATAAACTGTGCAGCAACATCTGAAATACACATTTACACCTCCGACTCCACTCCTCCGTGTATCCGCTCATTCAGCGTCCTTTGTCTGCGGCCTCTGAGGGTGAAACAGGAGACTGAACAGAGTGTAATGAAAAACCAATTAGCTGCTTTTGGCACCGAACACTCGACACACTCGTCCCACCTGAGACCGGCTTCGCATTAATTCTCCTCCCCGCCGCGGCCTCAAGGCCTCGTCCAGGCTTTTAACCGCTCCTGTGTGTGTGTGTGTGTGTGTGTGTGTGGCTCTCTTATTAAAAGACGTGCTGACACGGCAGAGCATCTATTGCTCTGGCTGGAAATATTACGAGTCCTGGACGAGCTGCTGCTGCTCCGTTATTACCTCCATCCCGACTCCCTCTCCCAGAGCCGAGCAGAGCACAGACACTGGTGGAATAGGAGGCTGATTGTGATTGATGGCTTCCCATTAGCAAGTCTGTTATCGCTCCGGCTGGGGGGAACGACCACTGAGTTGTAACACAACACATTACCTGACTCTCTCTCCCCCCCCTCCTCCTGCAGCCCCCAGCCGAGAGCCGCTTAAATAAAATATAGACCCTCTCTCCGAGATCCTCATTCCCCGCTCAAGGCGCTCCGACTGTTATCCCGTCAGCTGTGATTTGCTGAGCATTCCCACTCAATAAACACATCATTAGTATTCATATTAACTGCGGTCGGAGATATCTGGAAGTCCTGATTGTGGATGCATCCGCTGAAGCTTCACCAAGCTCTACCTCCTCCCCTCCTTCTCTTCTTCTTCCCCTTTCTCTCTTTTGGTGCTCCCTGTCAGAATGATTGATTGGGACCAGGGCACCGAGTGTCCTGCATTACCCCAACAAATGATCTGGCCCTTGCTGGCAGACCTTGGCCAGAAAAGAAATCAATATTTCACCATTAAAATCTATCAGAGGAGAGTTAGGGCAGCGGCTGTCAGAGGCGACGCTATCAAGCCGCCGCAACATTAAACCTGACACCTGCAGCACATGAGTAATCAATATCCAGCGGCTCACAGATCATTCGTGGTCACCTTTTAAAGCAGTGATGGATGTCTCCTGGGGCAGTGATTCATGTTGTGACACCGTTTAACGGGGTTTTATTCCAGTTTAGACGGTCATCCCTCAGAGAGGAGCTGGAGATGGAGCGCCGTGGTTCCCCCCGCTAACACCTATTTCATGGCGTTCGGTCTGTCCTCAGCGATTACGGCGAGCCTTTTATAGGTTTTGTGCCCCGCTATGTGTGAAAAACACGCAAGTGAGTGCAAGGTCAAACTTTATGAGCTCCAAGTTTTACACGAGGTGTCGAAAAAGGTGGCGGGAGGGTTCGGGGCAGGAGGCCGCTGGCGGCGGTTTAAATAAAGAATCAGACGGTAAAAATGTGAATGAATGAGTTTAAATGTTAAAATGTGGTTCTGGTTGGTTCCACCTGCACACAGGTTGACATTAAAGTCCACATTAAATCCCTTTAAGATCCTCTTATCCTCATAGTGTTCCCATATTTAACAACAAAACCAGAATGTCTTTGCAGCGAGATCGACTCTCTGCTGTCAATGTGAACGTTTATGAAACACAATCATAAAGCTTCAGGATAAATAATCCAGCTGTTTGATCCAGTGGTTGGTCGGTGGGTTGGGTAACTCTGGATGAAGGTTAATACCTGAATCATCATTATGTCGGATTATTAAAGGACGAGTATCAAAGTGACCACAACAAAGAAATAAAGTAGGAGCAGGTGTGCTGCGCTGTGATTGGTTCCTTCAGTGTTTCCTCCTCAGCAGATATGTGGAAGCTCTCAACCTTGCCTCCTGACCCTCATTCTGCAGGAGGAGATAATTGCTTGTCAGGAATAAATAGAGAGATTAATGAATTCATTAGCGGTGGGGAGTTTAGCTCTTCGGAGCAGCACTTACCGCTATGACACATCACGCCTATTGTTTTACTAGCTAGTTAGCCTCGAACAATAACATTCACACAGCAAATTGCCTCATACGCTCGTGTAAACCACAGAGAAACTGTGTCCTTATCCCAGAATTTAGCAATAATGCAAACAAAAGGCTCCTTAAATCCCGATTATTCATCTTAATTACTTTTGTCTATAAGAGCCGGTGTCTGCGGGAGCCGCTGCGAGACAGGACGCATTAATCCACATTAGCCGTGAACACTGTACCGGGTGATGTGTGCGGTTTCACTGTGGCACTACAGTTTGTGCCAGATAGGTACTATCTCCACTTAATTAGCTGCAGCTCTAAAGAGTTTAAAGGCTTCAAACACAGACGGCGAAGCTTCAACAATTAAATATATATAAGTTCAGTTTCTGATTCAAAGTCAGAGTTTATTCTAAAAAATAAAGTTTATTTAGTTTGATTCTTTGATTTAAAACTCCAGTGTGAAACATTATTGTCAGAAATATAATATTTAATGTTTAATGTTTTCATTAGACTGTGAAACTTGATGAGTTTATTAACTTAATTTAAACATGAAAGATGTTCATTGTTGAGGTAATTTGGATAAATTAAGTTAATTGAAGCTGAAACTAAACTTATTTAAACTGTAAACAGAATTTATCTGAATAAAGTAACTTAAATCTTCTTTATACAAATGTTAATTATAACTTTATCTGTGAGAACAGCTGACGTAAAATAAAAACTATTTATAATTAACTTTTTATTAAAATGGAGCCAATTCATTTTCAGTTTTTTTATGAGACAAACATCAAATATTTACACTTTAGGATCATTAATAATTATCTGGACGCATATTTGAACTTATGATAATTAATAAACTGTAATAAAAACAAAAAATGTAAAATCTTGAGTTATTCAACATTATAATACTTTATGTTATAATAATATAAAGTCTAGTTAAAGAAAATGAGTCAATGGAACAAACTGGAATTAAAATACTAAACAATAATTCATTTCTCAGTTAATTCAGGTGATGTGATTAATTTATGTTAATTAACTTTAATTAACTTTAATAATCGTGACAAACACAGCAGGTATTAGGTACTAGATATATATATATCGATATAATAATATATATATATAATGAGACTTGCAGTGACGTGGTGACCAGTTCTTGCAAATAAGTGAAGCTAATGTTTTATTAACAGTTTTTGATGCGTTAACTTCAATAAAAATCCCCTCAGACGTTTATTCAAATACAAATAATCTGCTTGGATCAATAATGTCTGATATAAAAAGTATAATTCCCTCATTAAAAGTAACAGAATCTGGATCCATATCTGATCAGCACAGTTTGATCTGAGTTTGGTTGAGCTGGACGGACTCACTGAGAATGAGCTGTCAATCACAAGGTAGCCCCGCCCTAAAGCATACCCTGCTTTATGGTCTGTTTTACTCTAAATGGGACCATCAGTTACTAAATGAACATCATGCTGTATGGAAGAAGACTGAAACTAGAGACTGAGACCAGAAACTCATCAGGAAACTGTTTACTGAGCTCATAAATCAACTGAGAAGTCGACTCATTTCTCCATAAGACTGAATGGTATCTGTGTTTATTGCCCCCTGCTGGCCGTTAGAGAGAATGCAGGTTTCAGACACTGAACCTGAAGCTCTGTCCGTTATAAACACTGTCAATATTCTTGCTATAGAGGATAAAATCTATGGTTACCACGTCCTCCAGATGTTCGTCCTCCAGGTCTGAGCTGTTTCTGGGTTCAACAGAGAGATCAGACGCAGTTACCAAAAGGCCATAATCTTTATTCCACCAGAACAAATTGCACATGTTGAGGTTTTCAGAGGTTTGCTGCAGTGAGTGGATCCATAAATCTCCCGTTTAAACCTCGACACAAACAGTCGCTACGCTGCTCGTATAGAAAAACACGCTAGCCCCCGAAATATGCATCAAAAAGGTTTCGTCTATCCTGGATTACAAAAACACTGTTTTTATAGTTTGTCTCCAACTCTGGGACTCTGATACGACGGCTCCACCGGCGGTTTCTACCAGGATCCGCTGACATGCCGGCGGCACACAGAGAGGATCTGAACAGACTTTAACACTGCTGGACGCTTCGTGGTCGAGCTAACGGTGAAACTGAGAAACGACTCCTGTGGTGAATTATTACCAGAACAAACTGCTGAAGATCCAACGAGATCCTTAAGTCGTGTTTCCTTTACGAGCCGGTGAAACTCAACGTGTGCGTCACCGAAACGTTCCTACCCGCAGGGTTGCCACAGGAATACTTATCTTAATAATTAAGGGCCAATAATTAAAAGGTAGATGTCCACAGATACCAGTCCAACCAGTGCGGTGCTACAAAGACTTTCTGCCCCGTTTACACGACAAGGAAAGAAAACTAGACTTTAGAAACAAACCTTCTGAACAATATTTCATCAAATTAACTAAACAAACAGGAAAAATCTGTTTTTGAACTGTTTTTTTGTTAATTTCAAATAAAAAAATATATATATAATTTTGATGTGTCACCATTGGGAAGCGTTTCCAACCGACCGCACTCAGGAACCCGGTTTCAGAAGGTTTTAAGACCCAAAAACAGACAATAAAATGTTGTTGTTGTGTAAACGGAGCTTTAATTAGACGGCGGTAGAAATTTAAGACCCGAGAATATGAGAATAATAATAGAAATTATTCCTTTTTATCATCAGGTTAAAACACTGTAGAGACCTGTTTGCATTATTTGCATTAAATTATGCAAATTATGCACAAAACCTTTAAAATAATAGTTTTTTCTCACTTTATTGTGATTAACAACATCGCTGTTAACAGTTGGAGGTTTTTAATCTTAGAAATGTGCTTAAAAACACAAGTAACCTCAATAATTGGAGCTAAAGGAGGCGACCAGCTGCGTATTGGAGCCAATGACATCAACCTGTAGACTGCAGAGAGAGACTGATGTGGTGAATGAATGAATGAATGAATCAAGGTTAAATCTTCCTTGCAGACCTGTGGCAACCCTGTATCCTTCATCTACAGTCATATATTTTAGGTTTTCAGCAGCTTCAGGTTCATTAAAGACGAGTTTGAATCAGGTATGAAGAGTTAAGTGGGGGAACGTTTTGGCATTCTTGCTGATCGTTGACCAGGAAACTGAGACGGCTCCAGATATAAATCCAAACAAATGTTTCTCCCTGAAGTATTAATTACTTATTTAAAAAAGGACAGTTCACCCCAAATCTGAGCCGTATTGACAGACTGTGGACATATGACGGCCTTCAGCTCGTGTTTCTAGAGTTACGTGTTGTTACGAACACGTTAGGAATTGTTAGAATGTGATATTTCTTAAAGGGAGTTTGGTGCAGGGAGCTTTTAGTTGGATTCAAACTAACATGCTGTATATATTTCTAACTAAAACAAGCTGTGTGTTTTAGATTTCGGGGTGAACTGTCTCTTTAAAACTTACGTCAGTACTCGTATATGGATGAAACTGAGTCCAAATGCAGTTCGCTTCCAACCAAAGTCAGTAAGAAATCACTCTGCTTTCATTGTTTGGATCCGACGATACCGAACATCATCATTCCTGTTTCTATTTAACCGTAGATATAAGCTAATTACACATCTGTGGAGATAGGAGTTGGCTGGGCTGTGTGTTCTCCGCTGATACGTGAAGGATGTGAGCAGATAAGGAACCGATCCCCGCTGTGTGACAGTGTTTGGCACAACGGAGCCAACGCTGATCTGAAGAACGATAGAAGCTTTAATCCCTTTCCAGGTGAGATGAGATAAAATACACACAACAAACTGTCATTGTTCTCCTCAGCTCGGGGTTAAGACGCCGAGCTCTGGCGGGAAAAATACTGTTTTTTGTTCCAGCGGGAAGCACCGGGGCGAGCCAATCAGGGAGCCAGGAGTTTGTTTGACATGCCTGAACGGCGAGGGGTCAGCCACTCCTGGTCCACGCCGCCTCTGGCTTCAGGTTGGTGCCGTGTCATTATGAGAGGACGTCCAGGTGGAGCCGAGAGGTCCCTCAGTCCTGATGGGTCTTCTCCTGAATGAATTTGTATTCATACTGAAATAAAACAGAACAGGAAATAGCTTTAAGGAGGCGGGAGAATCCACTTTTCATGGCCGGTTTCTTTGTTTGGAGGCCGTTTGCACCCCGACAGCGCTTCAGAAACCAACATGAGTCTAATAATAAGAGTTTCAGTCTCTTACCAAGGCTAGCTGCCGTCCTATGTTTCCCATAGTTATCACCCCCGCAAAGAAGATGCAAGGTAACCAGGAGCGAATATACAGGAAGTCTGGAGAAGTATACCTGAGCAGAGAACAACAACAGCAACATATTATATGTTTTTAAAACAATAAACACTGTTTGATAAAAGGTCAGAGACTCAGAGGAAGGTCCCACTGAAGTCCCTGATAGCTAACAGACCAGCTGTTAACAGCTGTATGTTTCCACTGGTTTCTCTTCACTTACTGAAACACTCCGTTATAAACCAGGAGTTGGGTGGCCAGCGTCGCCAGCAGGGCGATGCTGACTCCGAGGCCGAAGCCGCTGCGGGAGCGGTCGAAGGTCCACCACAGGCCGATGGAGAGCGCCGCCAGAGTCAGAGACAGCTGGACGTTGTTGGCAAAGTCCACTTTCTGATAGAGGGAGGGGGTCAAGGACCAGACAGTCAGCTAGAAACTGTATTTACACAACCGGCTGCTGTAGGAATACAAACACTGGCTGCAGCTAGAGGGAACACACTGGTATCGTATGATGTTAACAACCAGGCCGATGCCGTTGTGCTTTTGTTGCCAAGGAAACAAAGAAATCTAGCCACTGATGTCGGCGAACGCCATCGTATCTGCAGATAATCCGACGGGAGTCAACCAGGTGAATGTATCGGTGCATCCTGAGTATGAATGTGTTATTTTCTCCTATATTTCTGTAAGCTGGGGTCAATAAACTGTGAGGAAATGAACTATTGTGACCTCTTAGGATGAAACTGTACAACCACAAACCCCGACTGCATTCAGAGGACGGACGGCTTCCACAGTTAAACTGATAATAAAGACCCTGTTGCATCATCCTCAACGTCTGTGTGTCCTAATGTGGTGTTTAAGAGGCAAAAGTGGTTAAGTTTTGTGCCACATTAATGTAATAAATGTTATCAGGACCAAAAATCTTCCATCATAATGCTCTAAACTTTAAATATTTGACAAAATACAATGTTTATTAGAGATTTATGATGTCTCCAGCTTTTAGATAATAATAACTTCTATGTGTTAAACCCTGCTGACCTGCTGTCTCCCCATAAAGAAGATAAACCCTGGTTTATTATCGGGGGGGGGGGTCTTACACAGACTCTGGTTGAGACTGAAGAGAACAGAAATGAAGGATACAGCGCTGGCGTGGTTGATTCCCACAAACACAGCGACGCAGCGCATCACACTGGACCACTCCCGCTTGAACTTGTGCGGCTCGCCGAGGCGGCTGTCGATGCACGGGTACAGCAGCCCGATGATCGCTGGAGGAGGAGGAGGAAGAGGAGGAGGAGGAGGAAGAGGAGGAGAGAGAATGAGCAGAGTAAGACAACCAGCTTCACTACTGCAGTGCAACAGTCGACAGGAACACTTTGTTTTATATACTAATGTCAGAGCTTTTATTTTGAAAGGAAGCTCGTCGAAAATCAGAAAATGTTAAATATTTAGTTTATTTAGCTGCAGCTCATATTAAGGTGCTTTCTTATAGTTTTGTAGCCTTTAAAGCTAGCAAGGCTGATATATAATCTGAATTTGAGGCGACTCTGTGGGTCTTAAAGAGGCGTTATCTTTCTAGTAATACGGGATAAATAAAAGCAGAGTTTGTGTGTTTACAGTCGCTGCAATATACAAGGTTAAAGCTGCATATGTGACATGAATATTACTGTTACATACATACTCACTGCACTCTATCAGAGGTTGGCAGTAAGATAGAAGGGGTTAAAAAGGTTAGAAATTGTGATTAATTTGTATTTCATGTTTTTATCGTCACATTTCAGTTTCCATGCATCCTGGAAGACCTGGATATTTAGAGACTAGTTCTCATGGAAACACCTGGAAGTCGATTAAAAGGACCAAATATCCTGGAAATGATCTGTTGTCCTGGAACACGTTAACAGTATTTTAGACTCAGACGTACAGCTCTGAGTAAAACTGTACTGGAGCGTCCTGTAAACACCGACCTCCTCCCTTTATTAACCTGCCTCATTAAAACAGGAGGAATCAAACTGGGACGATGTGTAAACTTAAACTTAAACTAAACAATACGACTGTTTGTGAGCGAGAACAAACTGCAGTGATTTGCATCCAGTTAACCTCTGACATAACTAACATGGCGTCAAAACAAATTAATTTTTGCACCATCAACAAAATGCAGTGTGTGTGTGTGTGTGTGTGTGTGAGCAACAAGTGGAAGTGGCGGGCTCCTGCGTCTGGGGAGGAAGAACGCCTCAGGCTGTTGTGGTTTGTGCGGAGCCGCCTGGGAGCAGCCGGCATCCATCCACAGCTTCACACCCAGGGGACAACATTCAATAACGCTGGAGAGTGTGTGTGTGTGTGTGTGTGTGTGTGTGTGTGTGTGTATTACTGCTTCTTTTAAATGATGAGCAGAATATACTCTTATATAACTGCGTACAACTGTTTTAGTTTCTGCATTTAATGTTTGACTTTCATTTCACTTTGATTAAATCAGCTGCAGCGTCTCTATAATACAGATAAAGCTCATTAATAAAGTATCAATAAAGCCCAGCAGGCTAATTCACTGAGGGATTTTATGACTGGAAAAGATTCCTTTATTTCTCAAAGAAATCTATAAAATATATTTTATCTTTTATCAAATTAAAGAATCCCTTTTTATTTCTGAGGTTGGTTATAAACCACAAAACAAGACACATTTCTTTCTCTTTGTAAAGTCAAACACTACTGATGCCAGTGAGTTAGGAAGTTGGTTTAACCAGCGACTTTCAGCAGGAAACAGTCACAGAAGAGTTGGGTACCCAACGTTTAATAAAGGTTCCCAGCGAGTGAGGAACAACACGTCTAACCTGAGGAGACTCCTGGTCAAACACTAAATACATCTACAAGCTGAGAAGAGGAACGTTAGTGTAACGTTTGATAGCCTGAAAGCAGAGTCCTCCACAGCAGCTGCAGCGAACGTTGGCGCCTGCAGCCAGAGGTTGAACGCTCTTCATCAACGTCTTCGCGTGCAGCCGCAGTGCGTCCACGTACCTGAGGCGGTGCCACAGCAGGGCGGCACCCACCAGGCCGAGGAGAAGATACTGCTGATGACGTCGGGGGGGAAGAGGGTGACGTTTCTCTGCACCTGAAGTAAGTTGAGCACCAGGGCGAGGAAGACGCCCACGGAGAACAGCATGGCCCCTCGGATGCCCAGGTTGGTGGTCCTACAGCGGAGCAGAACGCGGTCAGGAGGAGGTTTTATAGAGTCAGCGTGTTGTAGAAGGTTCAGAACCAACCTGTTGGTGATGGCGGAGATATACGGGCCTCGGGAAGGCCGGGGCGGCGGCCCGGACCCCGACCACTGCTGCTGGCCGCTGGTCACTGCGCTGTCGCTCATGGCGGTCAGCGTCAGGGACATCCGTGAGCCTAGGTCAGGAGAATATAGACCGCTGTGTGACGTCTATATCCGCCGGTGAGTCCGCTGTCCTCCCCTGACATCCCACAGCGAGCTGGAAGACAAGGACGAACCAACAGAGACCGTTTTATAACGACCGTGGAGCTGAAACCCCGAAGATAAAGTTATGATTTATAGAGTAAATGTAAGAGTATAGTCAGTCAGTGGAGGGAACACACTGGGAACAGGTGTTAGTGTATGTTGGGCAATTAGCAAAGAATAATCACCTCTGAGGACAACAAGACAGAAACTGCTTGGTTGTTTGGGAGAACACAGAAGAGGGTTTGATTGAGGTTATATATGAGCTTAATACAGAGACAGGTACAGTGAGACAGGTACACAGTGAGACAGGTACACAGTGAGACAGGTGCACAGTGAGACAGGTACACAGTGAGACAGGTGCACAGTGAGACAGGTACACAGTGAGACAGGTACAGTGAGACAGGTACAGTGAGACAGGTACACAGTGAGACAGGTACGCAGTGAGACAGGTGCGCAGTGAGACAGGTACGCAGTGAGACAGGTACACAGTGAGACAGGTACACAGTGAGACAGGTACAGTGAGACAGGTGCACAGTGAGACAGGTGCGCAGTGAGACAGGTACACAGTGAGACAGGTGCGCAGTGAGACAGGTGCGCAGTGAGACAGGTACACAGTGAGACAGGTACAGTGAGACAGGTACACAGTGAGACAGGTACACAGTGAGACAGGTGCACAGTGAGACAGGTACACAGTGAGACAGGTGCACAGTGAGACAGGTGCACAGTGAGACAGGTGCACAGTGAGACAGGTGCACAGTGAGACAGGTACACAGTGAGACAGGTGCGCAGTGAGACAGGTGCACAGACAGATATTAGGAGGATAATTTTTGCTATAAAACTATTAATGCTGATTGTTTCAACCTGGAGAGCCGCAGTGTTTATCTTACACACAGCAGCTCTGTGATTGGCTGATAACAACAACAACAACAACAATAACAACAACAATAACAACAATAATAATAATAATAACAGTGTTTATCTAAAGGAAGGCGGTCGGCACAGAGGGACCAACAGAGACTGTTTATAATACAGAGCTTAATGTTTAATATATTCTGATACAGGAGTTTAAATACAGCTTTATAATCAATATCTATAGATAATCTATAGATAATCAATATCATCAATATCATCTATATAATCGATATAATCTATATAATCAATATCTATAGATAATCAATATCATCTATATAATCTATATAATCAATATCTATAGATAATCAATATCATCTATATAATCAATATAATCAATAATCTTTGTTTCGGTCGATATAGAATATAAATGTTTATTGTCCCACATGATCTACCTCTGTCTGTGTTTGTGTCACTAACAAACAAACAAACAAACAAACAAACAAACAATAATGAACCAGCAGCTAAGCTAATTGTGATGCTAGCGGCTATGCTACGTTAGCTTGCCGTTAGCCTGCTGCTATATGTGAGAGCTAACAGCTAACAGCTAACAGCTAACAGCAGCTAACAGCTAACAGCTAACAGCAGCTAACAGCGGCTAACAGCAGCTAACAGCTAACAGCAGCTAACAGCTAACAGCAGCTAACAGCTAACAGCAGCTAACAGCAGCTAACAGCAGCTAACAGCAGCTAACAGCTAACAGCAGCCTACCTCCCGTTGACGCAGAAGTTCCACAGATTCGATCTCTCCTTCCCTCCGATACTCAGAGCTCCGCGGGAAACTAACAGATATCGATTAGCCTTCTCTCCCTGCTCCGGCTACTTCCGGCTGTCTAAGCTGAATGGACAGCCAATCAGCGGCCACAGCCATGACGTAACCGCGTTACGCAAAGCAGACGCGTCACGTGGTTAGAGCTCACAGCGGGTGGATCAATAAACAATCCAAATATATATGGATCTATATTCTACAGGTTCATAAGAGAAGCTGCTTATATTTATATTATTATTTTATTATTATTTATTAATATTATATTATATTATTATTTTATTATTATTTATTAATATTATATTATATTATTATTTTATTATTATTTATTAATATTATATTTACATTATTATTTTATTATTATTTATTAATATTATATTATATTATTATTTATTAATATTATATTATTATTTTATTATTATTTATTAATATTATATTTACATTATTATTTTATTATTATTTATTAATATTATATTATTTTATTATTATTTATTAATATTATATTATATTATTATTTTATTATTATTTATTAATATTATATTATATTATTATTTTATTATTATTTATTAATATTATATTATATTATTATTTTATTATTATTTATTAATATTATATTATATTATTATTTATTAATATTATATTATATTATTATTTTATTATTATTTATTAATATTATATTTACATTCTTATTTTATTATTATTTATTAATATTATATTATATTATTATTTTATTATTATTTATTAATATTATATTATATTATTATTTATTAATATTATATTATATTATTATTTTATTATTATTTATTAATATTATACTTACATTATTATTATTTTATTATTATTTATTAATATTATATTTTATTATTAATATTATATTATATTATGACTTTATTATTATTTATTAATATTATATTTACATTATTATTTTATTATTATTTATTAATATTATATTATATTATTATTTTATTATTTATTAATATTATATTTACATTATTATTTTATTATTATTTATTAATATTATATTATATTATTATTTATTATTATTTATTAATATTATACTTACATTATTATTTTATTATTATTTATTAATATTATATTATATTATTATTTTATTATTATTATATAATATTATTATTTTATTATTATTTATTAATATTATATTATATTATTATTTTATTATTATTTATTAATATTATACTTACATTATCATTTATTAATATTATATTATATTATTATTTTATTATTATTTATTAATATTATATTATATTATTATATATTAATTATATTATATATTATATATATATAAATATATATATATATATATATATATATATATATATATATTTATATTTATATTTATATATATATATTTAAATTCCAATCTTGTGCCCTGAGACTGACAGTGACACATTTTGAATATATAAAATAGAGACAATTTACATAAAGATTGAGATAATAAGGAAACAGTGGAGGTGGACCAATGACGTCCAGGTAAAGACAGATGTGACAGAACAGCTGGAGTCAGATAAAAACCATACATTCAGTCTCAGGTAGAGAATAATCCTTTACAACATCCATCTTATTTTATCATCCAGCTGTTGCAGAGTAGTTTTTTACAACTTTTATTGAAACAAATAGAGAATACAAGATATTAAGTCTCATAAATGCTGTTTACAAGTTCAAGTTATTAGTTTAAAATAGTGACGATAAAACTATTAATGCATAAAAAACAACCACAATAAACACAGAACAAACACAACAAGAGCTTCATTTAACCAGGTAGCAAACTTTTACATCTAATTAGCTTTCTAATAATGAATTCTTAATTATCTAACATTTAAAAAGTGACTTTATTTATGTTGTTTTTATCTTTTGTTGTTGTCTGTTCAACGTAGATTAGCTTAGCTTGTAGCATATCTAAGTACAGGAAAGCAGGATGAGGTTTTATATATATATATATATAATATATATTATATTGTTCACGTATTTTACTTATATATGTGGTATCGTAGGGTTTAGTGCCATAATGTCATTAATTGAACCTGATCAGATTGGAGATTGACGAGCATTATGTGTTTTCGTTCCTATCAGTTAAAATAAACATGTAATTTCTGACTTTTAATAATATTTCTGAGACTGATAAAACTGCAGCTTCCAGTTCTGAGCCGCTGTGCACCGCCATCATCCTCACACACACACACACACTTTCTCAGGGACATGTATTTGATCTGCTCTCGGGCTCTAATAGGCTTACAGAGATGCAGAGGTGAGGAAGCCACAGTGCGGAGTGGATCACTCTTAATCCTCGGCTCACATTTACATTCAGCATACTGAGGCCTGCTGCTCATGATGGGTTTCGGGGATTATATCTGCAGACACAATAGTTGGAACATAAACAGACTGTCCACGCGCTCTCCTTCCAGTTCACTTTATCACGCTTTGATGCCGTTTTCAAAATAAAACCCGCCAGAAGAAAAAAGCTCCGAGCTGCTGATGATGTGAAAGAGTTGTGACACAAAGCGACGAGTTTAAATCAGTAATTATTTATTAATATAAAGTAAATAAAGTAAAATTAGATTACATTGGATTGTACACTATATATATATATATAAATATATATATAGTCACATATATTAGCTCATGTTAGTAACTCACTAACTAATCTCCATCAATCTGTGTAATTATCTGAATCACTGAATGGATCCTGTTAACTTTGTTTTATTATTATTATTTATTTATTTATTTTTAATTATCATGTATTCCTGCTCTTTTTTTTCTTGTTACGTCATTAATGTCCTTAATGTCCTTAATTTATTGTTTTATCTGGATATAATAACTATAATAACAAAAAGATGGTTCAAGGATAAAAAATGTACAGTCACATCTCATCTGTGTGACACAGTGAGCTCTGCCAGTCACACAGATTATCTGTTATCAGGGCTCCTGTCAGTGGGGGGGGGTGACATTGTGATGGACGACTGGGTCCGACTGGGTCCAAACCTGCAGCTCTTGTGGGCGGGGGGGGGTCCCGGCGGTCTGCAGAGGTCAGTATCTACAGTTTATTCTACACTGTTTAATGCAACATGAGCCAAACTTCTGTAGACAAAAGTTGTTATTAGTCTAATTATTTCCATGTTGTCATACCTTTATAGTACCAAACCTGTGACTGCAGCCCCCCATGGGGCAGGGAGAGGGATCTGAACACGGCTATAACTCAGATTCAAGCAGCCGTGGGGATTAATTCATGCGTTACCCATTTATTTTTTATCTAATAAGATGACTCGGCAGGTTCCACACACTCGCAGTCCCACGGGAGACTCACTTAACCCTAATAATTAGAGTGATAAAGGAAGTCTGGTAGGTAAGAGGAGGGTAGGGGGGCTTTCAATTAGTTGTCAAGGGCTACTTGGAGGCCCCCTGACGCAGCCAGAGAGCAGCCAGGGATTCAATTCATCATCCTGCCTCTGCCAAACGCTAAGGGCCTTTTCATTATCCGACCACTGAGTCCCACTGTCGGCTCCCTCAGTATAAACGTGAGTGATGGCGTGCGCGGTGGTGGGCTGTGGGTGTGGACGGCGATGGAGGGGTGGGGCCGGGCCCTCGTCATAAATGTCATCCCCATTGGACCGTTGCAGGTCCCGGCTCCGAAATAATAGGCCCTGTGACCTCTCTGTTGTCTATAATTAACCTCTAACCCCCCCCCACAACACCACCCTCCCTCCCTCCACCCATCCCCAGACAGCCGGGATGTGGGAGATGCTGCCCGGCCGCCGGCGCTCTCCCTCTCTCTGTCTCTGGCTCGCTGCAGGCGGAGGCGGAGGCGGAGGCGGAGGTTGGGGGAAAAGGGTGTGGAAGCAACAAAAGAAAATGGCTGCTGCTGTTGTGTTCCTGTGATTGCGTCACATGTTTGAGACGACCCGAGCACAAACTGTAAGGACGTATATAAGGTGAGACACATGCAGAGGTCAGATTGGGGGATATTTGACCTTTATAACATTCAGACTAGTGGAAAGAAAACGCACACAATACACATTCAGGTGTTTATTTTACTACATTTTAGACATTGGTGATTTTTAAACTCTATAACTGGTCAAAACTGTCTTTGGTGGGAGGACAGTGTTTCTAAAGCTTTGGCATGTGTGTTCAGTTTTATAACACACAAACTGTTACACATATTCCTCAGAAAATTAAGAAAGAACTAAATACCAAAAAAACAATTTCTGTGATTCTTTGACTTCATTTTGTCTGTTTACGACTGCAGATTTAACCAAACGTTTGCATTAGATAATGCCTCATTTGCATATTTAAACATAACATGTCAGAAAACTTGTAATACAAAAAATTATTGTCTTATTGTGAATAATCAACTGAGGAAGTTTCATGCTGATATCTTTTAGTTAATTTTTTTATCCTATTCACCTGTAGTGAATTTCACATTTAATATCTTTAAAGGCCGTTTTCTCCAAAATTTGTTTTTTACTCGTATTCGGAGCCAGAAATCTTCACTTCAGCAGCTCTTACAGACACCAAACCTTCCAGTTTTATTCCTCTCTATCTTCTGAATGTTTGTGCTGAGGGGTTTGTTCATATATCATTCACAGCCTGATTTATAGCACATTTTATTCCTATAAACATGGTGAAAATGTATATGTTTTAGGAGTGTTGACAACAATTTGCACGTTCAAACATAAAATTTTAGAAAACTTGTAATACTAAAAATAATTGTCTTAATGTGAGTAATCAACTGGGGAAATTTAATGCTGATATCTGTTAGTTGAATGTTTTACCCTATTCACCTGTAGTGAATTTCACAATAAAAGGCAGTTTTCTCAAGATTTTTTCTCATATTGGGAGCCAGAAATCTCCACTTCAGTAAACCTTCCTGTTTTATTCCTCTCTATCTTCTGAAGGTTTGTTCATAAATCATTCACAGCCTGATTTAAATCACATTTATTCCTAAAAACATGGCGAGAATTGATGTTTTTATGACACTTAACGGTATTTTCTGATATCTGGAGTCATGAAAAGAGATATCTAAAAATCCCCTTCATTAAAAACCTTTTACTTTTATGTGTCAACAGAAC